CGCAAGTACAAACAAGGTCTTACATCTGCTGAAATAGGTGCTGAACTGGTGAATTGAGTTAAGCAGTAAAGATAAGAAAATCTCTGCTTTGTGATTCTCTCAGTTTGAATTTAAAACCACTCGTTAAAACGAGTTAGAACTTTGGGAACGTCTCAGAACTCCGTTAACATCATTTTCATTCTTCAGAGACTGTATGTATGCGTGTGTGTATGTGTATGTCTTAGCTTAGGTCAATGTAATTTAGAATAGCCAATAAATTAATGTTTCATTTATAAAGAATCATTGTCTGGTGTCGTATACTTGTAAAGTCAAACCTTGCCAAGATCTTGCTACCTAGCTCGTAGCGTATAACTTATCAAAGAACGTATTAACCCGTGGCCAGGGAAAATACATATAGTCAAATTGTTAATATACACTGACATTAACGTCTCGCTGGACGAGTAGCTGATAAAGTGTAAAATATCAAATTTGAAATCAGTTTTAATCAGGTTGACTTTGAATTTTCAGATTCGAGTCCTCTCAAAACCTGAGCTAGAAATAAAATTAATGATTAATTCCCTTATAAGAATTAATGAGTTTAATTCCTTACATTATTGTAGGTCCTCTATGCCTCTCTCAAACACGTCGTTTTCAACAAAGCCCCCTCCTTTGACAAGCGCAGTCTGCTCTGATTGGCCAGCTGACCCAGTGCATTGTGATTAGCCGAACACCACAAGCACGCATCGGAAATGTAACGGCCCTTACCGTAATCGCGAGCGTCAGCTTTCAAAGTAAATATCAAGACCGTTAATAATGTCGTTAGTTTTACCATCAGTTCAAGCCCGAAAGGGCAACAGAGTCGCGTGACAGACACAGTGATGATGCAGTACACAAGCTGCGGTTAAGACAGCTGACGTGCTATGATTTCTGACGGGCAGTTCACTCTCCAGTGATGTGACCCTGTTCCCCTCACATGCACACACACACGACACGTTACTCTGCGCTGCGCAAAACTCTGCATTTGAACAGCCAATAGCAAATACTTAAACTAATAACAAAACATACTTACAGTC